ACGAAGACGCTGCAGCTGCAGCTGGCCACTGCCAGACGCTCCCGACTGACCAGCTCCAGGGCGACAGCCACGACTGCTACCGGCACAACCCCAACTAGCGTACCACTCACGAAGCTGCTGGGGCGTGAGAGACTCACGCGGACGTCGCTGGAGCTGCATCTGGCCACCGCCAGTAGTAGCAGTAGCAGCAGTAGCAGTAGCAGTAGCCTAGCAGTAGTAACAGAAGTAGCAGCAGTAGCAGCAGTAGCAGCGCGGGCAGGGCAGGCGCGGCAGGCAGACAGACAGGCAGGCAGGCAGGCAGGCAGGCAGGTAGGTGGCGCGGCAGCGCGCGAACAAGGCAGGTGCTCACCAGTGGCGGGAAGGGCAGGTAGGCACACGACGGCGGCGACGGTGGGGCCGCAACAGCGGCTGCAAAGTAGGTCCGCGTCAGCTGCAGGGCTGGGACCACGACAACGGCAGGGCAGGGCCGCGGCAGCTGCTGCAGGGCGGGGCCAAGCGGGGCCGCTTCGGCGGCAGGGCGGGGCCGCAACAGCGGCAGGGCGGGGCCGCGTCAGCGGCAGGGCGGGGCCGCGTCGGCGGCAAGGCGGGGTCGCGACAGCGGCAGGTCGGGGCCGCGTCAGCGGCAGGGCGCGCCGCGACAGCGACCTGGCGGGGCCGCGTCGGCGGCAGGGCGGGGCCGCTACAGCGGCAGGTCGGGGCCGCGTCGGCGGATGTCGGGGCCGCGTTGGCGGCAGGGCGGGGCCGCGGCAGTGGCAGGGCGGGGTCGCGTCAGAGGCAGGGCGGGGCCGCGAAAGCGACCTGGCGGGGCCGCGTCGGCGGCAGGGCGGGGCCGCGACAGCGGCAGGGCGGTGCCGCGTCGGCGGCAGGGCGGGGCCGCGACCGCGGCAGGGCGGGGCCGCGACCGCGGCAGGGCGGGGCCGCGACCGCGGCAGGGCGGGGCCGCGTCAGCGGCAGGGAGGGGCCGCGTCAGCGACCTGGCGGGGCGGCGCTCTGGCCTGACGGGCCTGCAGGGGCGGCTCGCGGGCCTGACGGGCCTGCAGGGGCGGCGCGCGGGCCTTACGGGCCTGCAGGGGCGGCGCGCGGGCCTTACGGGCCTGCAGGGGCGGCGCGCTGTCCTAGGGCAGCAGTAGGCAGCGCGAGGGCTGCAGGACGGCGCGCGCAGCGCAGAACGTCACAAGGCAAGGCAGGCAGGCAGGACAACACGTGGGGTAGCGCGGTAACCGCAACGGTAGGTGGGCCCGAAAAAAAACGGTCTTACGGACCTAGTGCTCTGATATCATGTCAGAATCTAGCAGCAGGAATGATTGAACTATCAAAGTATTGGGTACAAATATGAAACCCTAAAAGGGGCTGTACCCCATATTGGCTACCCCACTACAGCCTACACATATATAACATGCATATACTTTGACACGGGCCTGTGAACAAACACCCTCCCGCACCCACCCCACCGCTCTCCACCGTTGCCCTTGACTAGCATAAGAGATGTGTACAAGTACTAGACCTAATAGGGGCTGTACCCCTTATGGTGTACCCCAGGACAGCATAGCAAGCACAAATGCAATTTGACACAATCTAGTTAGTGTAGTATCATAATTCTATTATATTCCTTGGTGGTGTACCCCCTTTCCCCACCTTTCCTTGCATCTACCGTATATCTTGTATTGTTATTAGTGAAACCCTCTTCTTCTCTCAATACTCCCGCCACTCTCGACCTTACCTACCTAGCCTAAGGTACCAATAATTGCTAGGAGGGATTCGGAGACAAAGCACTGGCAAAAATAGCAGCCATCAATAAATAGGGGTACCTGTAAAAAACAAATACCGTAGTATCCCAAACTAGGAGTAAACCTCCGAGAACGGGTGGAAATGAGGGTGCGTAAATTATATGAAGATAGCAGAGCCAACTGGTGGAAACGCGGGATCAACCACAGGTACTGGATATGCAAAAATGCATACTGAAAGAAAGAGAAAAGAAGCTATAAGCTGCCCTTACATCATGCTTGGCCTTGCTCCAACTCCCAACTATAGGCCATGAGCACCAAACAAAGCCAAGACGCTAGCAACTCATTGTTATAAAACACAACATATTACAACAAATGATTTTACACTTTCACCCAACCTCACTTTTTCACCTCAGGTGCATTTATAAAACTTATGGAACGGCACAGCGTTCTGCACTGTGCTTCCGACCCGTATCCACATTCTCTACTTCTTGCCCCGCCGAAGCCTGACCTGCAGCAGCAAGGTAATGAGCGTCACAGCAAGCCCGATGGCGAGCAGCACAGCCAGGCTCTAACACTTGCCCAGTGCTGGTCCAGCGATCGATTCACCAGCAGCTGCGGGCCCGTGAGCAAGCACCCTACCACCTTCTTTATTTATGCTTGGCCCTACGAAGCCTCACGAGCAACACCAAGGTGATGAGCTTCACAGCAAGCCCAATCGCGAGCAGCACGGCCAGGCACTCCCACTTGCCCAGCTGATCCACCGACCGAGAAACTAGCAGCTGCGGGCCTGACAGCAAGCACCCTCCCGAAGCCGCCTCCACCTGCGCTCTCATCTCGGGAGACAACCCGCTAAGAGAAGATTCATTAATCGGGTTTATAAGGAGTTCGGAGAGCAGCTGGCTCTGCATCTGCTCTGGAGTTGGGGAGAGTGAGGAATTGCCGTTGGATGGGCTTGGGGGCATGGCGAGTGAGCTGTTTAGAGAACTGGGTACGCTGAGCGTGTTGTTGGGAAGTTTCGGCATGGACTCAGCGACACTCAGGTAGCAGGGGCTTGGCCTGGGAGAAGAAGGGATGAGAGGGATCGAGAGTGTAAGGTGAGTAACATGCTGGGAGGGCAGGTGTAATATTGGAAATGGATGTGTATGAAAATGTCAACTTTGGAAATGGATGTGTATGAAAATGGGACTTTGGACATGGATGTGTATGAAAATGGGACTTTGGAAATGGATGTGTATGAAATGAGACTTTGGAAATGGATGTGTATGAAAATGTAACTTTGGAAATGGATGTGTATGAAAATGTAACTTTGAAAATGGGTGAGTATGAAAATGGAAGCAGGCTGCAGCGTGCTAGTGTGTGTGGAAGCAACCTGTGCAACCTAGCTCACAAAGGGAACATACAGAGAGTGCAATGGGGAGGAATCTTAAAGCGACGGGCAACTTTTGGCAGTGTTGGGTTCAGAAGTTTTTTTTTTGAACCAGGCTTGCCAGCGCGAAAGTGCTGGCTGGCGAAAACCAGGATTTCGTGCGGACACTTTCCATCCGCAGTAACAGTTCGCCAGGGTTCTGGGTTTTGGGTGGCAAATGTGCACCGTCGCTTTAAAGTGCGAGAGTGGAGGGTGGGGGAGATGCTTAGAGGAGACTGGGGGGGGCTGGGGGAGATGCTTAGAGGAGAGTGGGGGGGGGACTAGGAGAGATGCTTAGAGGAGAGTGGGGGGGGGACTAGGAGAGATGCTTAGAGGAGAGTGGGGGGGGGACTAGGAGAGATGCTTAGAGGAGAGTGGGGGGGGGGACTAGGAGAGATGCTTAGAGGAGAGTGGGGGGGGACTAGGAGAGATGCGTAGAGGAGAGTGGGGGGGATTAGGAGAGATGCTTGGGGAGGAAAGCCGGAAGAAGAAGCGCGCAGGCCTGCAGTTTACCTGGCGAATTGGTTGATGGCGAGAGCTTCGTAAGCGTATTTGAAGGGGAGAGGAAAGCTGAGGGGGATCCGCAACGGGAGGAGATTGGGAGGACGAATGGATAAGATGCAGATTACCTGGCGAATTGGTTGATGGCGAGCGCTTCGTAAGCGTATTTGAAGGGCGACAGGTAGTGCATCCATATGAGCACGGCAGGCATTTGTTTCCTTGTAACGTAGAAGCCACAAACGAGGTAGAAGTAAGACATGACCGAGATGGCGAGTGCATATGCCAGGACGACACTGCGAGGCAGAAGGGGTGGTGATGTGGGGAAATACGAACGACACTGAGTGGGAAGCTATGTTGGCGATTTGTAAATATATACCACGCTGGATGGGGAAACGGGACTCAATACCTGGAGAAGGGGGGACCAGCCGCTCGGAAGTAAATTCACAGGGCATGAGAGAAGGAGAATGAGAAGGAACATACAAACACGCAAGCCCATACAGACACAAGCGACCATGGCAATACAGGTTAAACACAACACAGTGTTAAACACAGTTGCACAAATTCTGACGCACATATGTCATCACAGATAAGAAATCACATGTTTAGAAGAAACTGGTTGTTGACAGATGAATATGCAACCTACCGCAATGCATTATGCAGCCCAAGCCACTCACTCCTTTACGCATGTGCTGACACATGTCGCGATGGCATTGGCTGCAAAGAACATGACAAAGAACGCCACCACCATGAAGAGAAACCCCTCGGCACCGCCGGCAAGGCTGATGCTCCACCAGGAGACGGCGGTGAGCAGCAAGGCCATGAGGAAGTGTAGTGGCAGGTACACTAAGGTTGATGACATCAGGTACGTTGATGGCCTGTACGCGTTATTGGCTGACTCCCTCACAAATATCGCGCATTCCTGAGCGGTACAGCGGTGCAGAGGGGTGAAAGGAGGTGGGAGAGGTCAGGCAGGAAGAAGAGGGAAGAGGTCAGGTCGGAGAGGACGGAGAGGGTGCATGAGAAGGAATTTATAATTGAGTAATTCAATGGACAGCACTGGATGAACAAAAAACACTTCAAACTAGCAAATTCTGGGACGCGGGCTTTAATGAACGCAGCAGCTCCTCAAAGAGCCAAGGCAAGGCATTCCAGAACAAGGCATTTCAGATTCCAGACAAGGCATTTCAGAACAAGGCATCTACAACGTGGTACAAGAAGTGTAGAAGACAGTACGCGCAAAAACAGAATGAGAGGCACACCATCACCCCCTCAGGGTCGGTACGTCGGTGAATGGGCCCACGGGGTCGGTAAGTCGGTGAATGGTCCCTCGGGGTTGGTAAGTCGGTGAATGGGCCTGCTGGGCGTACCTCGATGAATATTGGGACAGCGTCGCACGAGGAGTAGAATACAATGCCGCTGGCGCATGACAGGAAGGACAGCCGAATCACAAGTCCCTCGGGCCTGTAAACGGCCACGGGCAAAGAGAACGGGGAAAAAAATGAAACAATGACTTCCTGTTTCTTGTTCCTCATCCATTATTTTCAACTCTTCTGCCCCACAGCCTAGAACCAGACCTGCCCAACCATTCCCTATCCTAGCACCAGAACGGACCCTCCATTACCAAACCAAGAACCGGACCTGACCAGACGCAACAGCATTTATACTCACGTTTCCGCTGGCCTCCAGTACAGAATCGATAGAAGCAGACCCGTTACAACGATGAGCGCCAGCCGCAGCAGGTACAGAGCAGGCGTACGAATGATGTTCGTTGTGGCCCTCCTCGTCAGCACCCACAGCTCCCTGAACCATCCGTTCGCAAATTGCCGCTCCTTCGCCTCGTCCTCACTCCCCGCCCCCTTTTCTGAGCCCACTCGTCCCCAGGCCGCTTTCCCCTTCTGAGACATTGATTTTATTATACCAACACGTGGCGCCTCCAGCAACGGTTTCCGAGCCGCCGCCACAGGGTCGGCCACGCCGTCCCGGCAGGCTTGGGCGTAGGCCTGGATGTCGGTAACACCCTGGGCTTGCAACACGGCCATGACATCCAAGCCATGCTCTGTGCTGTTCGAGCCTTCTGGAACCGGGCTCCCCAGAGAAGCGAGGAAATGCGGCAGGCCGGCAGGTGGGCCTAGATAAGCTGTTTGTCCCACGCCTAGGAGAAGGAGTTTGTCAATGAGGCAAAGCACGCGATAAGATGGCTGATAAGATCAACAAATGGAAAGAGAAAAAGTACAGCGAAACAAATAGGGATAACATGAAGTTTTTGAAGTACAAAAATGATTGTTGAGCCTCAGTTTGGAAGATGATGAATGGCCTGGAATGCAAGTGATTCTGAGCTCACCTGGTGAATCACCATCATGCAGATGCTCGAAGTCTGAATCGCGACGGACTTCATAGCGCGTACGACGCGGTAAGCGCTGGTCGAATCGAGACCTGAGGTTGGCTCGTCGAGAAATAGAATCTTCGGGTCGCTCACCATCTCCACCCCTATCGCCACTCGCTTTCGCTCACCGCCAGAAACGCCTCTGCGAGAACGCAAGCGGTAACATAAAGAGAGCATTTTAGGGTGTAACATAAAGAGTTTTCAGTTGCTTTCACTAAACCAGGTTTTTTTGTGATGTAGTTTCCATGTCCACAAAGTTTTGGCACAAGAAAACACAAGGCTCACTTCTTCTGATGGCAGTAGAAAGCTCACCTCTTCCTCTCGCCACCGATCGGCGAGTTCTCAACTTTCGCCAGCCCGAGCAAGTCGATCAGCCTCGCGACCTTCTGCTCTTTTTCGCGCCGCGAAGTTTTGGAGTCCAGCCGCAGCTCGGCGGCGTACATGAGGGTCTCGCGCACCGTGAGCGACGGAAACAGCACGTCGTCCTGCATCACGTACGCGGACACGCGCCGCATCGTCCCCGCGTGCACCTCCGCGCCGTCCAGCTCCACCGTCCCCTTCCGCCGCCCCGACGAGATCCGCTGCGCCAGGATGTTCAGCAGCGTCGTCTTTCCGCCTCCGCTTGCGCCCATGATCGCCGTCACCTCCCCCGACCTCGCCTCGCCGTTCACGCCCGTTAGAATCTGCCGCCGAATGCGCTTCCGGCGCATTCCGTCGGTGATCCTGCCTCCGCCAGGCGCCGCGGCGCTGGTTCCAGTTGCACCATCATCGGTTTGCGCCGTGACAGAGATCGCCGCCGGGAAGCCCTGCTGAGGCGGCAGTCCGGGGAAATTCGCGAGGGTGCTGTCCTGCCGCGCGAACTGCGGGCCGGCGCCGGCCGGATCTCCCTTGCGTTGTACGACGGAAACGGAGTAGCAGATGTTGCGGAATGTCAGCACAGAGGCGGGGACGGCGGAGGATAATTCAGCGGAAGGCGAGAATTTCTTGCTGGCGGCGTCGCGTTTGAGCGCTTCGACCTCGACCGTCAGGTCTTCGGATGACGACGTGGAAAATATGTCATCGTCACTATCGTCACTGTCGCTGGGATAATCGCAGTCGTCGTCTATGTCGTCAACAGTAACGTAGTCGTTTTTGCGAATTGGCGGCCGCTGCGGGGCTGCGGCATTGGTCGTTGCAGGGCCAGACATTCTGGGCTAGGTGATGGCCGCTAGTAGAAATTCTGCGATACGTGGTTGATAATGTAAGTGGTTTTCGGCTGTCCATGATATGCAGTTGAGCAAGAGGAGAGGGAATGATATCGTCTTGTCTATTATTACCGCACTAAGACCTGCTATTTTGCGCAGCACCACTGAAACACTCTGTGCAACCGAGCTGTACTATGATCACAGCCCACATCGACTCTCTTGATTCGCCAGTGGAACAATTTGGGATCGCGCGTTTCGAAATCGTGTACAGTACACTAAACTGGGGGAGCTATTTGATCGCCGCCATCCAAGGAGCGTTCCGAAATCTGGGAAGTACTGTAATGTCCGTATGTCATTCCCGCAAGTATCCATGTCTCACGCTCCGCCTTCAGGTGCGGAGCGGAAGATACATACCGCCGTCATCCCCTGAGAGACATGTATGGTGCGTATGTACTGTACCACGACGATGTACCATACAGTACATGTCTCAGGGTCTTAGCCGGCCACCGTAGGACCCGGGGGGTTGGGTTGGGGACCGACGGCTGGAGCGACAACGACCTATGGCGGGCCGTGCGGGCAGGAAAAGTAAACCCCACCTGGGGGGGATAAGAAGGGGTTCGGGCGGGAAAAAGCCATACAGTAGGAAAATGGTTGAAGGCAGGACCAATCGAACATTGTGGGAAGGGAGAACGGGGATTGAAGACGGTGAAGTGCGATTTACGAGAGTTTGGGGGGTAAGGATACCAGCCAAGCCATTGTAATTGGCGAATCAGTATAACCCATTATCACAAAAACATTATATGGCATTCCAAAATAAGAGTTAGCATCCAAAAACAGGTGGAATCGCAGGTGCTGAAAAAATGTGAAAACACCAGCCTATGTATACTAGGCATACGGGACACACAAAACACTCTCAAAAACAAGCTAGTAGGGGGCCCGTACATCATGCTTCATCTTGAGCAAACTCCCTAAGATATAGCATTGAAGGGCTTGAGCACCAGACAAATCCAAAACGCTAGCAACCCATTAATACAAAACACAACATATTACAACAGACAGTTCTGCATTTTCACCCCACCTCACCTTTCCACCTCAGCTGCATTACTATTAGAAACGGCACAGACGTTCTGCACTGTGCTTCCGATCATCCTTGAAACCAGTATCCCACATACTTTACTTCTGCTTGGCCCGCCGAAGCCTCACGAGCAGCAGCAATGTAATGAGCTTCACAGCAAGCCCGATCGCGAGCAGCACAGCAAGGCACTCCCACTTGCCCAGCTGATCCAGCGCCCGATTCACCAGCAGCTGCGGGCCTGTCAGCAAGCACCCTCCCGCACCCGCCCCACCACTCTCCACCGTTGCCCTTGCCTCGGGGGACAACCCGTTAAGAGCTGACTCACGAAGCGGGTTAGTGAAGAGTGTGGTGGAGAGGAGCTGGGTCTGCAGCTGCTCTGGGGTTGGGATTGGAGAGCCTCCAGGTGGGCTTGGAGGGATGCCCAGTGAGTTAGAGAGTGACGTGGGTATGATGGGGGTGTTTCCGGGAAGGTTTGAGAAGGAGGAGTCGGTGACATTCAGGTAGCAGGGGCTTGGCCTGAGAGAAGACATGGGATGGGAGAGATGGCATGGGATGAGAGAGATGGCATAGGATGAGAGAGATGGCATAGGATGAGAGAGATGGCATAGGATGAGAGTTATGGCATAGGATGAGAGTTATGACATGGGATGAGAGTTATGACACGGGATGAGAGTTATGACATGGGATGAGAGTTATGACATGGGATGAGAGTTATGACATGGGATGAGAGTTATGACATGGGATGAGAGTTATGACATGGGATGAGAGTTATGACATGGGATGAGAGAGATCGTAACTAAAGTGGAAGAATTGCACGGAGGGAAGCATGCCTTTTGCAAACAGAAGCAATTGGAGGGAAATGTAACCCAGCTGCACTATACTGAGTTCAAGAGAGGGGAGTTGTTGGGCCGGTGTTAAGGGAGAAAAGTGGGAGGAAGAAGGGAGTAGGCTGCACTTCACCTGTCAAATTGGTTGATAGCGAGTGCTTCATAAGCGTATTTGAAGGGCGAAATGTAGTGTAGCCATATAAGCGCCATAGTCATTTGCTTCCTTGTAACGTAGTAGCCACTAACGAGGTAGAAGTAAGACATGATTGCTATGGCGGTTGCATATGCCAGGACGACACTGCAAGGTAGGGGGGTGGTGATGTGGGGAAATATGAACAACACAGAATGGGAGGATATGATTGGTGAAAAATGAATGAAGTACCATGCTGGATGGGAAAATGGAAATGATCAGAGGGGAGAGGAAAATGCATGTAGCTAAACGATGAGTAGAATGCACGCGTCCTATAGCTGTATGCTACAGGGGGCACGCGGGAGGGCAAATGAGAAGAAAAATCACAGTTCTTTTCCCCCTCTTTTTCCTCATTTGCTATGTTCGTGTTGTATGCGTCTTTGGCAGACGCAATGTCCATGACAATAAGGCAGCTCAGCAACCCATATGAAACCCAAGCCACTCACTCTTTGACGCATATGCTGACACATGTCGCGATGGCATTGGCTGCGAAGAACATGACAAAAAACGCCACCACCATGAACAGAAACCCCTCGGCGCCGCCCGCGAGGCTGATGCTCCACCAGGAGACGGCGGTGAGCAGCAAGGCCATGAGGAAGTGAAGTGGCAGGTACACTAGGGTTGATGACATTAGGTAGGTTGATGGCCTGTAGGCATTATTGGCTGACTCCCTCACGAATATTGCGGATTCCTGAGCGGTGCAGCAGGGTGAAAGGGGGTTGGAGTGAGCAAGGAGGATGCGCGTGAAGATATGTTCGAACACAATTCAACGAGCACAGAACATAATAAAAGTCGTTAGTGGATGAGTTAAACAGCTCGTCATGAATGCAACACCCTCCAAGAGCATGAATCTTAGAACCAAGACATGTCATTTCAGAAGAGCATTTACATGACCAAAGCATTTACAATGTGGTAGAAGCGTAGAAGGCAGTGCAAGTCTCAAGACCAAATGAAGTCCTCACCCTCACCCATCGTTAAATCGGTCCGAGTGATCAATCATACCTCTATAAATATCGGAACCGCGTCGCAGGAGGTGAAGAAAACAATGCAGCAAGCGCACGACAGGAATGACAGCCGAATGATAAGTCCTTCGGGTCTGCAAAACCATCAATGGCGCAACAGTGATTGAAAACAACAAGAGGAAATATTTCAGGTTTTTTGTTCCTCACTCATTATTCTTCACACTTATGCCCAACAGCCCACAGGCCAGCACCAGTTCTGCCCAGGTACCTTAGCATTTGTACTCACGTTTCCGCTGGCCTCCAGAACAGAATCGATAGAAGCAGACCCGCGATAAGGATGAGCGCCAGCCTCAGCAGGTACAGTGCAGGAGTGCGCATGATGTTGGTTGTGGCCCTCCTCGTCAGCACCCACAGCTCCCGGAACCATCCGTTTGCAAATTCCTTGCCCTTTGTCTCTTCCTCATTCCCCACCCGTCCACAGGCAGACATTTCCTTGGAAGACTTTGGATCAACCGTATCATGTGGAGCCTCCAACGGTTTCCGAGCCGCCGCCACAGGGTCGGCCACGCCTTCCCGGCAGGCTTGGGCGTAGGCCTGGATGTCGGTAACACCCTGGGCTTGCAACACGGCCATGACATCCAAGCCATGCTCTGTGCTGTTCGAGCCTTCCGGGACGGGGCTTCGAAGAGAGGCGAGGAATTGCGGGAGGCCGGCAGGTGGGCCTAGATAAGCCGTCTGTCCCACGCCTAGGAGGAGAAGCTTGTCGATAACGCACAGTACGCGATATGATGGCTGAAAATAAAAACGAAGGAAAATAATAATGGGATTGTGTTGATTGGAATTGTATGTTGTCGAAACTCAATCGGTTCCATCGCAAGAAATCCAAATGCTTAGATGTATGGGCTCTCAGCTCACCTGGTGAATGACCATCATGCAGATGCTCGTAGTCTGAATCGCGACGGACTTCATAGCGCGTACGACGCGGTATGCGCTGGTCGAATCGAGCCCCGAGGTTGGCTCGTCGAGAAACAGAATCTTCGGGTCGCTCACCATCTCCACCCCTATCGCCACTCGCTTTCGCTCACCGCCAGAAACGCCCCTGCGAAAAACGTAAAGTATCAAATAACAAGCATTTCTGGGTTTAAATTCGTGTCTTGAAGTTTCACTTGAATTCGTCTTCGTCCATTCCCAAACGCGGATAGTATGGGGCCTCTCGGTGAACAGGCTGCTCACCTCTTGGTCTCTCCACCGATTGGCGAGTTCTCCACTTTCGCAAGCCCCAGCATGTCGATCAATCGCGCGACCTTCTCCTCCTTCTCGCGTCGCGAGAATCGCGGCTCCAAGCGCAGCTCTGCGGCGTACATGAGGGTCTCGCGCACCGTGAGCGACGGAAACAGCACGTCGTCCTGCATCACGTACGCGGACACGCGCCGCATCGTCCCCGCGTGCACCTCCGCGCCGTCCAGCTCCACCGTCCCCTTCCGCCGCCCCGACGAGATCCGCTGCGCCAGGATGTTCAGCAGCGTCGTCTTTCCGCCTCCGCTTGCGCCCATGATCGCCGTCACCTCCCCCGACCGCGCCTCGCCGTTCACGCCCGTCAGGATCTGCCGCCGAACGCGCTTCCGTCGGAATCCGTCGGCGATCCCGCCGCCGCCAGTTGCACCGCCATCCACTTGCGCCGCGGCCGCAGAAACCGGCGGCTCTTGAATGCCCGGCTGAGGCGGCAATCCGGCGAAATTTGCGAGCGTGCTGTCCTGCCGCGTGAACTGCGGGCCAGCGGTGGAAGGTTCCCCCTTGCGCTGCTTGACGGAGACGGAGTAGCAGATGTTGCGGAAGGTCAACACGGAAGCGGGGACGGAGGAAGCTTCGTCGGCGGAAGGCGATAATTTCTTGCTGGAGGCATCGCGTTTGAGCTCTTCGACCTCGGTTGTCAGGTCCTCAGACGACAACGTCGAGAATGTGTCGTCGTCGTCGTCGTTGCTGTCGTCAATGGAGTATTCGTAGTCGTCGTCTACATTGTCGACAGTAACTTGGTCGCTATTGTGAATTGGCGGCCGCTGCGGGTCCGAGGCATCGCTTGCCTCAGGGCTAGGCATTCCAGGATAGCTGGTGGTCGCTTTGAGATATTTTCTGCTAGTAATAGACCGATGAAAATGCTTGTCGGCTGCACTGTCTGATTTGCTGATCGAGCTAACATAAGTAAGCACAAAACTGTGAGTGGAATGCCAACAAACGGAGGAGCAGAGGCGAAGTGAATTATTGCAATGCGAATGCAAGGTGTCGCCATACACATTTGCGATTACCGTACAAAATGCCGCTACCTTGCACAGAACCATTGAAACAGCTGTGACAACCGTGCTGCACGTATGTCGAAAGCCAACTGGGCTTGCCTGGAGTCAAGGATGCAATTGCGTTTCGATGACATTGAACGCGTTCCGAATTCTGTTTTATTTCAGGTATCCTGAAGGTTCCAACGTTGGTGATTCGGATATGTGTACCCGGAAAAAAACATCCGACCCGTATGGCTTTCAACTTTGGCGTAGACCTAATTCAGGATGAGCAGTAGCTGCTGCTTTTGGAGTATCATCTGTGAGTATGTCCTAACCCATGATGACAAATCCCACAGACATAAGGGAGGACCCTGAGAACTTTGAGGAGATCTGGGTGTGTACCCTTTAAAGCTTCAACGGGTGGAGAACACAAATCAAGGAACGCGATACATAATCAGAAGTTGGGAACAAGGTGACGCGACAAGCGACGAGATGGCACACGGGAATTTAACATATATACTATCCGGCATTGTTACGAGTGCAAAAAGGGCCAAAATACAAGTGTGAAGTAATGATAGCACTATGCTACCAAGTTTACTATTCAGGCAAGTACGCAATGTCTGTTGAGCTAGTTTACTGGCCCTTTTTTCAGCCTATTCAGGGAATGTTCATACTTCCTGTACAAACTATCCACATGCTCCTTGTGCGTGTGTGGCTCTCGATGTGTGTGTCATTTGGACAGGACAGGAGGCTCTGTCACCTAGAGCAGGCGTTGTCTGATTTGCTCGTTGAATACTGTCTCCTGGAGAGCAGCTAGTTTTCTGGCAGAGACAAAACAGTCCACAAGAGAGCACAACAGGAGAACAGTTTACTGGAGTGTAAACTCACATCGATTTTGCACATTAGTGTGCGATTGACAGCCAAATAAAATATACGAACAAAGCTTGATTACAGGTTGAAAGGCAGCAGCAGAGGAGAGGAATGTTGAGAGAAAAAATCAAGGAGCACCGATTAGAGGAGGGGAGAGGAATGGAGAGGAGAGGAGGGGAGAGATGGGAGGAGAGGAGAGGAGATGAGAGGAGAGGAGATGAGAGGAGAGGAGGGGCGGGAAGCTCACCTTTTATTGCACTGCTGCAGCACAAGCTCCTCTACAATGGCAGGCTGGTGCAGCTTGATTTGAAGAATTCTCAAGATCAACCTTCAGCAAGCAGGAGGCTCACCTTTTATTGCACTGCTGCAGCACGAGCTCCTCTACAGTGGCAGGCTGCTGCAGCTGCTCCCACGAGTCCCACTGACCCAGTGACACACCGGCACACCCAGACACGCCATCCCACAGAGGTGCGCTCTCACATCCAGACGCATCAGCAGCAGCACGTTCAGGGAGAGGCAGTGCGGAAGCATGAAGGGCAAAGGCTGCTCCTGCTGCTGATAATTGCCGCTTCAACTGCATGCCATCGTGCTGCCGTAAAACGTGCGCACTCGCAGCACCATTGCCAGCAGCATTGACAACACCGTTGACATCACCATTGCCAGAACCGTTGCCAGCAAGAGTAGGCATGGCAGTGTGCAATCTGTTCGCCTGCTGCTCCTGCCTGTATCGCTCCAGCAGCGCCTGTCGATACACCCCCTGCACTGCTGCTGCCATCGCGTCTCGTCCTCCCATCATCACATCGTTCCCAACCGCACCTAACCCTGCTGCACCCAGCGATCCAAACGTGAATTCTCCTCTGCCAGTTGACATTTCCCCCGCACCGCCTGCTGCAGGGCTGGAATGCATTGCACTATCCAAATTAACAGCCTCGCCCAAACCTGCCTCCTGCCCCGCATTCACCCCCGAATTCAATTTCGGATTCACCCGCGGACTCGCACGTAACCCCTGACTCGCTGTCAAAAGCTGAATGCTCCCAGGCAGCAACCCTCTGCCCCACGCGCTTCCACCTCTTCCCCCTTCCCCTCCCTGTTCCGCCCTGACCCCTTCTCTTGCGCGCCCTCCCCCCTGAACCAGCCCTCCGGCGTCTCCAACCGCCGCGGCGCTCTGTTGCGCCTCCTGCCCGCGCGCATTCCCCCCCGCTGGCTCCCGCGGCTGCAAGCCCCCCCCCGATGCAGCTCCCCGCGTGTGCAATCCCGCCGGGCCGAGCACCTTCGCCATTTCCACTTGCTCCTGCCGCTGCGTTCCCCCGCGCGGGTGCAATCCCCCCGATGCAGCTCCCCGCGTGTGCAAGCCCCCCGGCCCCAGCACCTTCGCCAGCCACTCGTTGATGTCCTCCTCGCGCGGAGTCCGCGCCGCCCACGCCGCTCCCGCTCCCCGCTTACCCTCGCTTCCCGCTGCTTCCCCTTCCCCTTCCCCTTCCCCTTCCCTTTCCCCTTTCCCCGTTGTCGCTGCCGCTGTAGCTGTTGCTGCCGCTGCTGCTGTTGCTGTTCCCGTTGCTGTTCCGCCTTCTCCAAACCTGGCGGGAGCGGAAGCCGCCACAGCGAATGGCGGAGTGACGGGGCGCTGCGACCCTCTAGAAGAGGGCCGCGGCAGATACGGGAGCGCCGCGGATGGCGCAGCGGGGAGAGAATTGAACGGTTGCGATGAGAGCGAATCGGACGGATGGGAGGAGATCTGCGAAACGAGATTGCTTTGCGACGGACAGTTGACAGACGGGCCGCCGCAGGTGCTGCGCGCCGATGCCGCCGCTAGCAGCAGATCATCCCGCCGCCGTTCGATTCCCATGAACTGCAGCGGATCTGTGCCACGTGTCATGCCCAGAAGCGCCGCCAGGGCCGCGGGTAAAGGGGAAGCGGATGGGGCGGCGCTCGCCGCGCATGGGGGCTGGGCGGACGCGGGCAGAGGGAGGGCATGAGACGGCTGGAGAGGTTCGGGAATGGAAGGCCATGAGCGAGGCTCGAAACGAGGTTCGGAAAGGGGTTCGGGAAGATGCTCAGCGAAGTCGCCGTTGGTTCGGGACGCCGGAACGGAGAACGTTGGCATGGGCGGAGAAGATCGTTCGAAGGGCTGCGGCATCAGCGGCGGCCCTGGCGGCGGCACTGGCGGCGGCACAGACGGCGACGCCATGGTATTTGAAAGCAGACGAGTTATCGCATCTCCAGGATTTGCCCAGTCTCGGGCTGTGGCGTCACCACCGCGTTTCAACGAGTTCCCTTGGTCTGATAACGAGTTCCCGCGGACGAAGGGATCACCCGTTACTGCTACTAGGTTGAATGGTGTCATGGAAGAGAGAGTGGCGCCGCTATTAGTGTCGGTTCTCAGATCCGGCACTGCCTTATATCCGCCGTCGAATCCGCAGCCACCGCCGCAGCTGCCATTCGCGCCACCACCCCTGCTGTTGCTCCGTTCGTTCGTGGCGCTCCCGCTTCTGCTGCCGGACGCTGCGGATCCCGCCGGCTGCTGTGCCGGCGAACGGCACGCACGAACTGACGTCGCCGCTTCGTTATTACCCGTATTGTTACAAGCCGAAGCGTCGCACGCGGCTGTCGTCGCGGTCTCCGGAGGCGCGACGGCATTGCCGTGCGACGCTGACGCCACGCTCCTGCGACTCCCGATGCTGACAGTATCGCGTATACCGGTGTTGCTGTTGCTGTTGGCCCGATAGCCGTTACCGACGCAATCATCGCTCGCATGGTTCTCGCTAAGAGTCGCGGCGGGACGAGCGGCGGAAAGATTGGGCAGCGCGACGCGGCCCGTGGCGGCGGCGATGAGCATGGCGTGTGCCTGGAGGCGCGAATGCGGTTGCTGCGGCTGTGGCTGATGCGGGTGCTGCGGCGACAGATGCGGCTGCCGCGGCGGTTCGGCGGAGATGATGTTCGAAGCGGGGGAGGCGGCGGAACCGGGTTTGGCAGCGGGGGAGGCCGCGATGAGCGTGGCGGCGTGCGGTTGATGGCGCGAGGCCGGCTGCTGCGGCTGCTGCGGCCGCTGCGGCTGAGGCAGGTCGGCGGAGGAGTTGAAAGCGGAAGCGGGAGCAGTCGCAGCCACGAGGGTATCGTAAGCGAAAACGGCAGGTGCGGAGGACAGTGGGAATGGCGTCATGGCGTCGACCGACGCAGCGTTGGCCATACCCGCCGCTGCTGACCGCCGCCGGAAAATAATTGAGACGTTCTGAAACTCGCACCTTTATATCATACAGGTTCTTCTGTCTACGAGCTTTCACGTGAATGTCCTCGTCGGTGTCTGCCTCGTTACTGTATCATCAGCTGCCTCGCCTCTCCTACTGCTGTCGTCCGTACTCGGCTCGTACGAAGGTCATTACCGCGTCGAAATCATGGCAGCCACGGTGATGCTCATCTTTCACTTCCACGCGACTCGAGAACTTGCGCTGGGCAGTTTGAACGGGAAATGAGGAGAGCCCTAGAGTCACTTCAAGAACCCTAGAGTCACTTCAAGAGCCCTAGAGTCACTTCAAGAGCCCTAGAGTCACTTCAACTCGACGCGCTGCCTGGCCGACGTTAGCTGCTTCGCTGCGCCGCCTAGTGCGTGACGAAGCCAAGCGAACGAAATCAGTTGAGCTTTCAGAACCTTTCTCGAAGGCAGCCAGACGCTCAGTCAGCTAGCTGCTCGAAACGGGGATGGTGGTAACTCGTAAACCTAATCTCAGGGCTACCGCAGCTCAGTTAGGAAGGATTCCATAATAAGCATGCAGTATCTGATGGACCTCTGGTCTGGTCGGACAGTCGCGCGCGACGGTTGGTTCTGCGTGTGCTCTGCTCACCCCGTCCGTAACTCACATCACACGACATCGTGTTTACGGGTGAACTGCTAATGTTGATTGGTTCACGAAAATTAGTGGGAACGATGGTCCTACGGTGAACGGCGAATCGGCGATGTGCGAAGGAGGGGAGCGAGCCGAGCAGCCATGACTGCTGATGGGCGGGGACAGTGGGATGTTAGCGCCAGTGGGGAAGTGGGAGGGGGGGAAGGGGAAGAACTGGGGGAGGGGAAGAAGGCGCAGTGAGGAGGAATATTCACCTAGTTGAAGGGCCGAAACTGGATTGGACGGGGTGAGCTGAATTGTGAGGGGGGGAGAAGGAAGGACAGCGCGCTTAGTCTGTTCTGTACGGACTACGTAGATGTGCGGTGCGGATGGCTATGCGGGCGGTGATGGATGGCACTTGGCAGTCCCGAGCAATGTCTGACGCGAGAAGCCAGTGGTGTAATTCGGGCGGGGGAGTGCAGATGTACAGTAGTATGCTGGCGTGGAGTGTAGACATGCCATGCCAGATGCCTTGCGAACAGAAGGTGCAGCGGAACGAAGAAGGGATGTGGAGGAGGGGGGAACGTGGGGTGGGTGGGGAGAGAGAGATGGGAAATGGCGGACTTGACTGAGGGAAATGGCTGGGGTGTGGGGGGAAGACTGTGGTGTGGGCGTGTCCGAATTTCTGGACTCCAACAGTCGGGAATTCAGTCAGTGGTGGTGGTGACTGGTGTCGTTTCTATCCACCGTTTTTGCGTTGGAATGACTTAGGGCGTGTAAAATTGTACCGACCAACCTAAAATAACGACCATTGGGCGGTTCTGACGATTGCGAACTATTTGGGGTAACACCCACAGATGAGCATTACGTTGTAGCTACTTTGACTTGAAGAATTATTCAGGAGTTATTTTCATTTAAATCTCTGTCACGGACTTTCGCGACTTGTACTACTCATTCCTGGAAAGGGAGAGGTGTTTGACTTCCAGTTATTTCCCCCGAGATAGTTTTGCGAAGGCTTATAAACTTTGCTAATTACTACTGTCTTTCCGTTTCCCGTATATTCCACACCCCGTTCGAATGCCGAAACTTGGATTAAACTTTCAAATTATAATTCCGCGGGTAGTTAAGGGTGGGCTCCCCACGGTTCGAAAAGAGAATGGTAATTCTGTTCGAAATGTGTGGCGGGGTTCGTTCAAACGTTACACCGTCTCGCATCCGCATGACCCGACCATTAGGCTTTGTCGATACAATGTTACACGCCCTTATTTTCAAGTTGCGCTTCATCGCTGGTCGTGTACCTGAATGGATTATCGTTTACGGGCAGCGTTTTGCGAGTCATTTGTCCCAACACAACACAGGTGTCGAACAATTTTTGTGAGAAACACATTGTTCTCGGGTATGTCTGAAGTGATTTTGACATCTAAAAAATCTGGCGTTTCAGCCGCTAGACATCCCTGACTGTGACAAACCGAGGCCGTTCACAAATTTGTACCAAACCACTTTGCTAAGGGACACCCCCCTCTTCGAGTTCCAGGTGTTTCAAGTGTTCACTATCCCAGCCTGCTCACTTCGGTCGAACACGCTTTACTAACAAATGCCCTGCAATTTCTTCTGCCAACTCTCGTCCTCCAAGACTCCAGGGCCCAGTTCGGCAGGCATTCTCGCCATGATCGCCATTGTGCGCATTTTTAACGGGCCCCCAAAAAATGGCCCCAAGAAACTGATGCGAAAACAGACTGCAGCTGCAGTGAAACCTCGGGAAAATGGCCTGTGTGTTCGGTTGGCATTAAATGGGCCAAGATTAATGGCATCAACCGAAAATGACACTTCGCAGAAGCCCGTTTGCACCAGCGCTGATGGAGCGCAGAATCACTGTACTGGCAGCCCGGGCAGCCCTGCAAACCAGCGGGAGACGTCGAAAAAAATCGGTCGAATGGGTGTTGCGTTCGATGTGTTAGTGATGGTGTGTTGGCGATGTGTGATTTTCCAGAGGGCACGAAGAGGGGTGTGAAAGACCGGGATTATTTTTTTCCAGGGCAAGAAGTGATTGCCCCGAATCAGTGATCCCCCGCATGGTGCGGGACCTCGAGGCCGCATGGTACGGCGGATGAGAAAATGGCCAGTTTGCCTGAGAAATAGGGTTCGAGGAAGGTTCTGCTGCTGGAAAAGGCCAGCGGTAAAAGGGGTGTTCGGCTGGCATTCCATTATTGTCTGGCTCGGCGATGATCCGCTTATATCGAGCCTAGATAACCTTTCACGCGCTTATCAAAGAAGGTTCCAGGGTGGTCGGTTTACTGTAGCCCATACGGGGAAACCGTTTTTATAATGCCTGCCGAACTGGGCCCAGGTGTCACGAGACTCTCGATTCTGAATTTTAACACGTCCAGCCAGCCAAACCAGACTGCATGCGACCACAGAACCGGTCTTGCAAGGCAGATGCTGTCGTCAAAGTCGCTCCAAGCCAAAAGGACATCACCAATGCGGTGCTGTACTGGCAGATTGGAAGCGTCCAACCAGACAAGCTTGTTTTATGGCCACTGCACAATAGACACCACAGACAGCACCCATCTGCAAAGCCAGCGAGCTGTTCAATGAACCTGGTCCAGCAGACACTACAAAAGGGAATACTGTACTGTAATATACAAAAAGAAGCCAGGCCCATTTCATTCTATAATGCAGCACAAAACAACGTACAAAAGAAACAGTTTCCGGTGCTTGCCTAACCTGTGCTAATATTGCTTATCCATTCCATGGGACTCGTTCAATACATTTGCTGCTTAAGGCCAATGTGGACTGAAAGTCCTTGTAACGCTTCACTAATTGTCCAGTACAATGATTCACATTAATCTCTCTCCACAAAATAACGTTTACAATCACCAGAGTTTCTCCTCATGCTGAACCAGATTGAACCCAAAACCGAGAGTCGAGGAGCGACGTAAGGATGGCCTTGAGAGTTTTCTGGATGGAAATGGAGAAACGGCAGAAGAAAGTAAGGTAAATAGCATGACCAACATGTCACATAAATCAACCTTAAAGAGTCGACGAGAGAGACGCTACGAGATGACACATGGGATGAGATGACACGTGGGATGAGATGGGATGAGATGACATGTGTTATGAGATGACATGTGGGATGAGATTTCAAGAGAGGGCAATGCAGCCCACAGACTAATGGAACTGCGGCTACACATGGTAGCGGCGGACACGTGTGGTAGCGGCGGACACGTGTGGTAGCGGCGGACACGTATGGTAGGGGTGGACTCGTGTGGTAGCGGCGGACACGTATGGTAGCGGTGGACTCGTGTGGTAGCGGCGGACTCGTGTGGTAGCGGCGGACTCGTGTGGTAGCGGTGGACTCGTATGGTAGCATACCCACTTAAGCTCCAGCCTACCTCACCTGCGAGTGACTCTTGAGAGCCCCACACATAGCATCAGCGGACGGGTCACTCCCTGTTGGCTGATGGAATTGGGGAAAGAGGGAGGGGGTGCCTTTCCCTCCTCCACCCCAGCCACAATTACAGCAATGCTTCATTGCCTCACTGCCTCACCTGCGAATGACTCTTGAGCCCCAGGCATAGCAGCAGCGGACGCGTCACTCCCTGTTGGCTGTGAGGACAGGGGTGGAGGTGGGGAGTAGAGGGAAGGAGAGAGGAGGGTTTGGAGGGCAAGAAACAGGCCGAACGAAGGCATGGTGTCTATGTTCAGTTCTGAAAGTTAGGTTCTAAAAAGCAGAGTGCGTGAGTACATGAGTGAGCGAGTGAGCGAGTGAGTGAGTGAGTGAGCGAGTGAGTGAGTGAAGGGGTCAAGAGTAGTGGTCAGGCATGCTTGACGTATGTGTGCAGTTGTGGAAGCTAGTTCTAAAGAGGAGAGTTGGGTGCGATAGACTGGAAGGTGCGAAAGTGAGTTTTGTACGGAGATCGAGCGAGGAAGAGTAAGCAGAGAGAGAGAGAGTGATTGAGGGAGATCAAGCGGAGAGAGGGTGATTGAGGGAGGAGAAAGGGAGAGCGGGGTCAAGAGGAGATTTCGAGAGAATGAGACCTGAATAAAGGGACACAGAGCTGGGAGTCTCTATTAAGCGGAGAGCACATGGTGGCATGAGGGGAGAGCACATGGTGGCATGAGGGGAGAGCACATGGTGGCATGAGGGGAGAGCACATGGTGGCATGAGGGGAGAGCACATGGTGGCATGAGGGGAGAGCACATGGTGGCATGAGGGGAGAGCACATGGTGGCATGAGGGGAGAGCACATGGTGGCATGAGAGGAGAGCACATGGTGGCATGAGGGGAGAGCACAAGGTGGCATGAGGGGAGAGCACATGGTGGCATGAGGGGAGAGCACATGGTGGCATGAGGGGAGAGCACATGGTGGCATGAGAGGAGAGCACATGGTGGCATGAGGGGAGAGCACATGGTGGCATGAGGGGAGAGCACATGGTGGCATGAGGGGAGAGCACATGGTGGCATGAGGGGAGAGCACATGGTGGCATGAGGGGAGAGCACATGGTGGCATGAGGGGAGAGCACATGGTGGCATGAGGGGAGAGCACATGGTGGCATGAGGGGAGAGCACATGGTGGCATGAGGGGAGAGCACATGGTGGCATGAGGGGAGAGCACATGGTGGCATGAGGGGAGAGCACATGGTGGCATGAGGGGAGAGCACATGGTGGCATGAGGGGAGAGCACATGGTGGCATGAGAGGAGAGCACATGGTGGCATGAGGGGAGAGCACATGGTGGCATGAGAGGAGAGCACATGGTGGCATGAGGGGAGAGCACATGGTGGCATGAGGGGAGAGCACATGGTGGCATGAGGGGAGAGCACATGGTGGCATGAGGGGAGAGCACATGGTGGCATGAGGGGAGAGCACATGGTGGCATGAGGGGAGAGCACATGGTGGCATGAGGGGAGAGCACATGGTGGCATGAGGGGAGAGCACATGGTGGCATGAGGGGAGAGCACATGGTGGCATGAGGGGAGAGCACATGGTGGCATGAGGGGAGAGCACATGGTGGCATGAGGGGAGAGCACAAGGTGGCATGAGGGGAGAGCACATGGTGGCATGAGGGGAGAGCACATGGTGGCATGAGAGGAGAGCACATGGTGGCATGAGGGGAGAGCACATGGTGGCATGAGGGGAGAGCACATGGTGGCATGAGGGGAGAGCACATGGTGGCATGAGGGGAGAGCACATGGTGGCATGAGGGGAGAGCACATGGTGGCATGAGAGGAGAGCACATGGTGGCATGAGGGGAGAGCACAAGGTGGCATGAGGGGAGAGCACATGGTGGCATGAGAGGAGAGCACATGGTGGCATGAGGGGAGAGCACATGGTGGCATGAGGGGAGAGCACATGGTGGCATGAGAGGAGAGCACATGGTGGCATGAGGGGAGAGCACAAGGTGGCATGAGGGGAGAGCACAAGGTGGCATGAGGGGAGAGCACATGGTGGCATGAGGGGAGAGCACATGGTGGCATGAGGGGAGAGCACATGGTGGCATGAGGGGAGAGCACATGGTGGCATGAGAGGAGAGCACATGGTGGCATGAGGGGAGAGCACATGGTGGCATGAGGGGAGAGCACATGGTGGCATGAGGGGAGAGCACATGGTGGCATGAGGGGAGAGCACATGGTGGCATGAGGGGAGAGCACATGGTGGCATGAGGGGAGAGCACATGGTGGCATGAGGGGAGAGCACATGGTGGCATGAGGGGAGAGCACATGGTGGCATGAGGGGAGAGCACATGGTGGCATGAGGGGAGAGCACATGGTGGCATGAGGGGAGAGCACATGGTGGCATGAGGGGAGAGCACATGGTGGCATGAGGGGAGAGCACATGGTGGCATGAGGGGAGAGCACATGGTGGCATGAGAGGAGAGCACATGGTGGCATGAGAGGAGAGCACATGGTGGCATGAGAGGAGAGCACATGGTGGCATGAGAGGAGAGCACATGGTGGCATGAGGGGAGAGCACATGGTGGCATGAGAGGCTACAGGGAGGGAGGAGAATGTGCGAAGGGGGTGAGAGGAGAGCAATGCAAGGAGGGTGGTGAGAGGAGGTCGGGTGGAAGGGGCACAGACCTGAGTGTCTCTATCAGGTGGCGAGCACAAGCTGCCATCAGTGGCTGCTCAGGGGAGGGAGGAGAGGGGAGGAGAGGGGGAGAAGAGGGGGGGAGGGAGGGGAGAAGCATCGAAAGCTATCAGGTGGTGTGGACAAGCTGCCATCAGTGGCTGCACAGGATAGACGGGGGAGGGAGGAGGGAGGGAGGAGAGAGGGAGGAGGGAGGGAGGAGAGAGGGAGGAGGGAGGGAGGAGGGGGGGGAGGAGGGAGGGAGGAGGGAGGGAGGAGAGAGGGAGGAGAGAGGGAGGAGAGAGGGAGGAGAGGAGAGGAGAGGGGAGGGGAGGGGAGGAGAGGGGGGGGGAGAGAGGGAGGAGAGAGGGAGGAGCGAGGGGGGAATAGAGGGAGGAGTGAGGGAAGAGCAAGAGACGAGAGATGGAGGTGAGAGGAAGAGGTATGGGGGACAGAGCGCATGAGGAAAGGAGCTATGTTGAGAAAGACGCAGCGTCCTCCGTGCGTCCTGCGTCTGGACGCAGCGTCTGGACGCTAGGACGCAGGACGCGCGTCCAGACGCAGGACGCACATCGTTTTTTTTTTTTTCGGGGTGCCCCGATTTTTTTTTTTTCCCGAACGCGAAAATCACATTCGCGATTTCGACGCGAATGTCGAAATCGCGAAATTTCGCCCCCCCCTAGACCAATTCGACATTCAAAAACAGCCCCCCCAACAATTCATAACCATTCATGCAAAATTGAATTTCTCAAACCTCTCAACCACTTCACATCTAGAAAACCCAACCTTTGTGCCCACCACCAAGCCCATTTAGCAATGCAACCAAGTCATTTGTGGTTTCTCATTTTACCCACCCTCCCAATTCTCTTTCGAAAACCCTAGAGGTTTTAGCTTACTAGCTTAACTCCGCTATGGCTTCCTCAAGCAACCCTACGTCTTCCACCGCATCTAGGGGTGTTAATGCCGAGGACGACTTGAGTTTTGGGGGAAAAATTGTTGTTGGGGCCAAATTTGCCTTGAAAGTGTGGAACGTCCCCCTCCCCCCCCCCCCCCCCCCCCCCCCCCCCCCCCCCCCCCCCCCCCCCCCCCCCCCCCCCCCCCCTCTTCCCATGCCCTATATAAAAAAAAATTGTCTGCCCGGGATTGCGTCTTTTGGTGCGTCTTTCTGGTCCTGGTGACGCGTCCTGCGTCTGGACGCATGCGTCTGGACACATGGTGGCATGAGGGGAGGAGGCATGAGGGGAGGAGGCATGAGGGGAGGAGGCATGAGGGGAGGAGGCATGAGGGGAGGAGGCATGAGGGGAGGAGGCATGAGGGGAGGAGGCATGAGGGGAGGAAGCATGAGGGGAGGAGGCATGAGGGGAGGAGGCATGAGGGGAGGAGGCATGAGGGGAGGAGGCATGAGGGGAGGAGGCATGAGGGGAGGAGGCATGAGGGGAGGAGGCATGAGGGGAGGAGGCATGAGGCACCACGACCTGCCATGATCCCTGGATTGCAGGGTACCCCGTATCACCCCGTCTCACCCCATCGCATTCCATCCCATCTTACCGCTTCTCACCCCATCTCACCCCACCTCACCTCTCATCATCGCACTGCATCTCACCTCGTCCCTCCTCCCCAGCAGCACTGACAGGTTGAACACCGAGCTGCCTTCCATCCCTCCCATCTGCCCTCTCCCTTCCATTGCTCATCCCATCCCATCCCACCACGAGCTACCACACCTCACCGCATCTCACCTCGTCCCGTCTCCCCAGCAGCACTGACACGTTGAACACAGAGCTCCCCTCCATCCCTTCCATCTGCCCTCTCCCTTCCGCCCCCCCCACTTGCTCCCGCCTATACAAGAGAGCAGGCAAGCGGGAGACACAGAAAAGGGGGAGGCAAAGCAGGGGGGGGGGGGGGGGGGGGCGGGGGGCAGGGAAGGGGAAGCAGCAGGCGAGGGGGGAGACAAAGAAGGGGTGGAGCAGGGGAGGGAAAAAAAAAAAAAAAAAAAAAAGAGCAAACAGGGAATTGGAAAAAAATAACGAAGGGGAAAACGGGAGGAGGAAACAGGTGAGGGAAAGAATTGACGAAGACGGGAAATCTGGATGGTTAACAAAACAAGCAAATGGAAGGGTATACAAAGAAGAATCAGGAGTGGGAGAAAAATGTTTCTCTATTCATATCCGTCTACATCCTTCCACATCCCTCTATACCCCTCTACACCCCTCTCCATGCTCTCTTGCTACTCCCTCCGCACCCACCTGGCTTACAGTATAATGCCCAGCTTGCCGATCTAGCTCACCACCACAACCAGCATGGTGGTGATCTCTATAACCCTCTATACCCCCCTGTATCCCTTTAGATCCCTCTACATCCCTCTGCATCTCTCCATGCTCCCTCTGCACCCACCTGGCATACAGTACGATACACAGCATGTCGACCCCAGTCACCACCACAATAAGCAGCACAGTGGTGATCTCAATACCCCTCTATCTCTCTACACCCCTCCATGCTCCCTCTATACCCACCTGGCATACAGCATGGTTCCAAGCGTGCTGATTTGAGTCACCACCACCTGAACCACCGAATATCTCGAACTATTTTTTTTACACCCCCTACACCCCTCTACATCCCTCTAGATCCCTCCATGCTCCCCCTCCACTGCATTCCACCGACCTGGCATACAGCATGCTGCCAAGTGTGCCGATCTGAGTCACCACCACCTGTCAAAGAGGAAGGAGTGAGCGGAGTAATTGACAGGGAGGGGGAAGGGAGGGAGGGGAGGCGGGGGAGGGAGTAAGGGCGCAGGAGAGGGAAAGAAGAAAAGCTTATCAATGTGATCGGCTGACAAAGAGCGGCAAGAATGGCGAAAACACAGGGAGCAGAGGGGAGGGAAGTGAGTGAGTGAGAGGGTGAGGTGAGGGTGCAAGATGAGGGAGTGAAACCAAGAGGCGAGTGAGGGACACAAGATGTAAACAGCAGTGACAAGGTGAAGTGAGGGAGAGTGCAATGATGTAAGGCGAGGTGGACAAGAAGTGGACAATGATGAGGCGACGGGGGCAGACGTGGAGGAGTCATTGGTGTCACCGAGCATGACAGGCAGGCAGGCAGGCAGGCAAGCAGGCGGGCGGGCGGGCGGGCGGGCAGGCGGGCAGGCAGGCAGGCAGGCATTGGTGTCATTCGTCAGTGGACGTGGAGCAGGCAGGCAGAAGAGGAAAAGAGAAGTGCTGGGAGCAAGCACGCAGCAGCAGCAGGGAGCAGCAGGGGAGGGGCAGCAGGAGCAGCAGGGAGCAGCAGGGGAGGGGTAGCAGCAGCAGCAAGGAGCAGCAGTAGCAGCAGCAGCAGCAGCAGGGGCAGCAGCAGCAGCAGGGAGCAGCAGCAGCAGCAGCAGCAGCAGCAGCAGCAGCAGCAGCAGCAGCAGCAGCAGCAGCAGCAGCAGCAGCAGGGAGCAGCAGGGGAGGGGCGGGGGCGTCACCATGAGGCGGTCGTCGTATGAGAGGCAGAGAAACGTGGTTGCCGTGCCCTGGTGCGCCGTGGTGGGGATGGGTGGGGATGGGTGGGGATGGGTGGGGATGGGCGAGGATGGGCGGGGAGGGGGTTAGTATATGTGGGGGAAGAAGGTGTGGAGGGGTTGGGACGGTAACAGGGGATGGGGAAGTGAAGGGGGGGCGAGTTCGGAGCATGTGGGGATGCTGTTACGCCTATGTGCGCCCATGTACGCATCTGCGCGCCTGTGCGCGCGCGTATGCATCGATGTGCGCGTTTATGCCCCTATGTGCGCGTGTGTGCGCCTATGTGCGCGTCTATGCGCCTATGTGCGCGTGTATGCGCCTATGTGCGCGTGTGTGCGCCTATGTGCGCGTGTGTGCGCCTATGTGCGCGGGTGTGCGCCTATGTGCGCGCGTGCACCCGTCTGCGGCGCTCATCTGCGCGCACCTCGATATCCGCGCTGAACTGCTTCGACCGCACAGGAAACTTCGCCCCGCTTCCGCTGCCACCACTCCCTTCCGCGCCTGCTGCCCCTCCGCTCTCCCTTTCCGCCGCCGCTTCCCGCCACCTCTCTCCACCCTCCCCCGTCTCCCCCATGCCCGCCGAATCCCAACCCCCCGCCACGCTCTCCCCCTTGTGGCGACTGATACCAGATCCCTTCCCCCTGCCTTCTGAGAATTCTCAAAAGCAACGGCGGCCCTTCGAGGCGCCTCAAACTCGAATCCCCTTACCCCTCCCTACTTAAATTCCTTGTTACTGCGCTTCCTTGTTACTATGTAATTATTTGTTCCTCCGCTGCGGAGGACCTTGGAGGCGCCTCAAGTTCTTCCCGACCTGCTATTAATCGGTTCCTTGCCTTTATTTCGTATTTATCAAATTTAATCTGCCGGTCAAGGAGGGACACAGCGGTGCCGCTCACGTCAGCACTGACTGACGTCAGCACTATGACGAATGGTTTATGAACGGGAACGTGGTCGCTTTGCTAAGACGAGAAGCTGAGGATGTTACGAAGGGAGTTATCAGGCGCACACTACGAAGTACCCTGTTCGGTTCACTGCTATGGTGCGACGCAAGAGTGCCCTAGATTGCAATGCGATGCGATGCGAGGCCAGGCCGACCAAGGAAGCTCGGATTCCCACAGTCTTGTCACCGAAGGTCCTATTCAAGAACGCGGATTGGTGTGGCTCGCCTCGGGAAGTTCTTGGGGTGCAGATTTTGAATGATTGGGGCGCAGTGTGTTGGGAGGGGGGTTGTCCATTCAATAATATGCTGTCAACGAAATTTGCGAAACTGTAGAGACAGGAGAAGTTAGGGCGCGTGTCTTTTGGAGTGTATTTGAAGTTCATGTTTTTTGCTCAACTTTTCACGTTTGAACTTTGGTCGACCTGTGGTCGACTATCGAAAATTTTGTGGTCAAATCGCAGCTAATCTTTCACATCATGCACTTGGCACAACAAAGTTCGACTATCACAGTTCGAATTTGTACAGTAAATCCCGAGTCGTGCCCAGGTTTCGTAGGTTACCCTGCCTAGGAAGTGTAGTTCGTCACCAGTAACCGCGTACGACGACACTCAAATGTTTCGTGCAGTTCGACAATTCACTGTGCACTAGCAAGGTGGCGAGGGCGGCAATTTATGATTTCATGAGGCATGCGAGGATTTACAGGGCAGAAAAGTCAAGGAAGGTCGACCGTGACGAGGCAGCAACGGTACCACGTGACCCATGGCGGGGGTTGGGAAAGGACGAGAGAGCGGCGGTGGACAGAATTTGCGACCCGGGTGAACAAGCCACGTGGAAGGATGCTTTCCTATCCATTTGGCAGAATCCTAGGACTATCTTCCGTCCCCCATAGAAGCAGTTCGGAGGGGGGGCACCGTGGTCTATGGCTACGAGGTCGGTCCTCTCCAGCATACAGTTACGACTGCGAATGTAATTGCATTATATAGTGCATGCCCATTCACCAAAAAAAAAAAAAATCTGTGCACTAGCAGAAGAACACACGTTTGGATTTACGTGGCCGCAAAATTCGACCTCAGTTCAGAGTCCTACAAATTCATCAACTTTGAACTTGGACACCCGACCATCGCTAACAACCTTTGACGAATTAGCGAAGGTGATTACCAGCCAAAAGGTGAACTTTTTTTTGAACCTCTACACCAAAAGACACGCGCCCTTATTGTTTGGTTTGTTTGGACGAGACAAATTCGCGACAAGAAGCGAGAAGTTGTCGTATCCAGCATCAGACCCTCGTTAGACAAATTCCATGAAACACGCTCTAAAATGCATGTCGCCACCATGCCCGTCTGTAAAAGGAACCCTAAATTCGCCTCACTAGCTTTTGTCAACACTAAACGCTAGAGAGCACTGATCTCACAGCAACAAGCCTTTAGCTCTTGTCTATTTCACAAATTCGTCGTTACTAGCCGGCTATGAGAGCGTCCTGCACTGGTTTTTACCTTTCCGCCATCGACTGGTCTACCTGTTTGCTGACCAATCAAGAGCGCCAGTTCTCGAGCTGAGCTTGCTCGCAGCCGCAATTACTTTCGACGCATCCGCGTTTCAGGACACCTCAAAACTCGTTTAGCGACGCTCTCCCCCATTGATTCGCTTCACGCCACCTCCTGTCGTTTGTGCGATGTCAGGGACGGACGGCGACGCTGCCGGCGACACGTGCTGCGCGCGGTTAGAGTTGACGGCCGACAGCGAGGCGAGCCGGCTGTACGTGCTGTCGCGGTGGGGAGAGGCGCGCTGTGAGCTGACTGTCAGCGACGGTCGCTTCGCTTGGACGGGCTGCGGTCAGTCAGTCAGTCATTTCGTCAGTCAATCAGTCAGTCATTCCGTCAGTCAGTCAGTCAGTCAGTCATTCCGTCAGTTAGGGAGTCAGTAATTCAGTCAGTCAGTCAGTCAGTCAGTCAGTGCCGGCTGCTCTGCTTGAACGTGCTGCAGTGAGAGAGAGAGTGGGTGAGAGAATGAGCAAGTCAGCCTGTCAATCAGTTGCTGCATGTCTTGGTGGCAGGCAGTGGGTTTAAATGGATTGCTTCGTTCGTTTCTCCACTCCATCTCCGCTACAGCCTCCGTTTTCGGGATGTCTTCAAAGTTCTCCACTCCATCTCTGCTACAGCCTCCTCACATGAGTCGTCTTCAAAGTGTTTTCACTCCATCTCTGCTACAGCCTCCCCCTCGCCCACTCGTTTCTTCCCTCTTGAATTCATGGGCAGTGGAGGAGGAGGAGATGTGGGAGAAGGCCGAGTCATGGGGGTTTCAGACGCCAGGAGAATACAACAGAGACGTGCTCCGAGCGGCTTTGGCACAGGTGAATGCAACAGACACGTTCTATCGGCAGCTGTTACTCTTACTATACATTCCTGCCGAAGAAGCACCACTTAGTTCCACAACATCCATCAAATCTCCCCACCCCACCACCTGAGAATCATTTTTGAGGCGCCTCAAAAGGCGATTTTTGAGGCTCCTCAAGAACCACCGAAGCACCGCTTAGGCTCCACAGCATCCATCAAGTCTCCCCACCCCACCCCACCACCTGGGAATAAATTTATAGCAGCTGAAGAAGAAACCATTTCTTCTTTCTCCCTCCTTTCTTATTCCCTCGTTCGCCTTCGTTTTACATCCCCACCTTTCTTTTCCTGCTCTCCTCTCCTCTCCTCTCCTCTCCTCTCCTCTCCTCTCCTCTCCTCTCCTCTCCTCTCCTCTCCTCTCCCCCCTTTCCTTCCCCACCAGCCATCTGCATCTCTCCGTTTCACATGGGGACGGAGCACCAAGAGAGCCCGGGCCTCTCAAGAGCAGCCTCCCACGTGGCAGGTGCGCATTGGATGCCTGTTGGGCTGAGGTGAGAGATTGTACCTTATTGGATGGCTGTAGCTGGCTGGATAGGATGGCTGTAGCTGGCTGGATAACTTTGTCTGCGAGTGTGCACTTGAGAGCTCTCGCCAATCTCATCAACACAGAGCGCTCCATTCAGAATGTCTTTCTGTGACTCGTGGAGGGCGAGTGTGCACTCGAGAGCTCTCGATCGGGTCAAGTCTCATCAACACAGCGCCTTATTCAGAATGTCTTTCTGTGACTCGTGGATAGGGCAGCAATTGGAATCAGCAGAGGAGGTGACAGCTCCACGTTTCCTCGAGTTTCTTCTCCCTTTTTTTTTTGCCTCATGGCTTGCATTGGCTGTGCAATGGTCAAGGCTAGAGATGAGAGTGACTGTGGAGATAATTTAGTTGATCAAATTCGCCTGAGAGGGACTGTGGTGTGGAGGAGGGGATTGGTACTGGTGAGTGCAAAGGCAGTGGTGACGTGGAAATGGAAATCACGTGATGGTTATTTGGCAAAAGCAGCGGTGACACGGTCAAACGTGATCGTCAAACATAAGAACCGTCTCATTCATCCCCATTTTCTTCCCCATTTTCTCCCCCCCCCCCCCTCCCCGTTTGCTTCCCGCTCCCACCCCTCCCCCCCGCCTCTCCCCCTTTTTCTCAGCTCGCGTGGGCAGTGCAGCGGTCAGACCTGGAGATGAGGGCGAGTGTGCAGCTGAGGGCAGTGGAGGGCGAGGAGCAGCAGCGGGCAGCGGTGGGACGGATACTCGATGAAGCCATGAGAGGGGCGGCTGTTGCACAGGTGGGGTGTGTTGTGGGTGTGGGGGTGTAAATATGAAGTGGCATGGCAGGGGGGGCGAGGAGCAGCAGCGGGCAGCAGTGGGGCGCATTCTCAATGTAGCCATGCAAGGGGCTGCTGTTGCAGAGGTGGGGTGTTGTGGGGTGGGTGTGCATGGCGTGGCATGGCATGGCGTGGAATGGTGTGGCATGGTATGGCATCGAGTGGCATGGCATGGCAGGAGCAGCAGCGAGCAGCGGTGGGGCGCATCCTCAATGAATGAAGCCATGAGCGGATGCTGCTGCTGCTGCCGCTGCCGCCGTCTCCGCTGCTTCTGCTGCTGCTGCCCCTCTGGTGAGCCTTGGAGATTCATTGTCATAACATGCATGTCACAGCATGAAATATCTGTGTTGGCAGGCATGAGTGGGCCCCAGTTATGTGCCATGACTTCACGTGGCAGCAGCTATGATAGCATGTTCAGGTAAAACATTGAGAAAGGTGCTTGCTTGTAGACCCCAGTTAACAAAAGTGATGGTAACCGGTTTCGGCTTATAGCCTTCGTCAGACCAAGGTGACTTTTGGTCTGAAGAAGGCTATAAGCCGAAACCGGTTACCATCAAGTTTTTTCACAAAGGTGTACAAGCAAGCACCTTTCTCAATATTTTACCTAAAAATCATAGGTGCTGCCACGTAAAGTCATGGCACCTAACTGGGGCCCACCTAAGTTGCGGAAGACGCGTCTAGGGCTGATTTGACGCTGGGTTAGACGCAAGCCCGGGCAGGCAAAAAAAAGTACGGACAGCCAAAAAAGCCTTCTGCGGGGCATGGGGAGGGGGGGGATATGGACGTAGCTAACATTTGAGGCAATTTCTTCTTTGGTCTTGATTTTCCCCCCCAATTGTTTTTTCCGGCCTGCCCAAAAACGTTTCCCCCTTGCGTCTAGCGTCTACAGGTGCGTCCTGCATCTAGCGTCTAGACGCTGCGTCTAGACGCTAGACGCAGGACGGTCCTGGCGTCTTCCGCAACTTAGGGGCCCACTCGAATTTGTCATAGCATGGTAGTCCCTGCGAGGAGCAGCAGTGCACAAGGGAGGCACGTGGGAGGCTGCAGTTGAGCTTGTGTATCCAATTCGTCCCCCCCGCCTCTTCCCCACCCCCTCCCCCCCTCCTCCCCCTTTTCCACCCTCTCTCGTTCACAGACAGAGCAGCAGCGCAGCAGGGAGGCGTGTGGGAGGATGCAGAGGGAGGCAGAGCGGTGCTTGCAGCAGAGTGAGCGGTTCAGAGAGGAGAAGAGCCGACTGGAGGACGAGCTGCTGGGGAAGGTGTGTGCTGTGCAATCGGGTGTGCTTGTAACGGTGTGCTTGTAACGGTGTAGCTTCGTATGTAATGGTTTTTGAGGGATGTGAGCAAGGCACTGTGAGGGTGAGGATATGTGAGGGCATGAGGAGGGGGGTGAGGCTTGTGAGGGGTGTGAGGGGTGTGAGGGGTGTGAGGGGTGTGAGGGGTGTGAGGGGTGTGAGGGGCGTGAGGGGCGTGAGGGGCGTGAGGGGGCTGAGGAGTTATAGGTTTGAGGAGTTTGCTGAGAGTGAGGAGGTGGCTATACTGTGTAGTGCATCAGAGGAGGAGGCGCCTTACAGCAGAGCTGCTTTGTTTGCTTTGCTTTGTTCGTTCGCCGCACATCCAGGACGAGGAAGGAAAGGTTGCTGCTTTGCTTTGTTTGTTTGTTTGCACGGCTCGGTCTTTCTCCACTTGAGACTCCCCTTTTGTTTTCCCCGGTGCTTGGAAAGCTGATGCATGAAATCATAGGTGCATGGGAATCTCTCTCTGCACTCCTCTGCACCCCTCTGCAGTTCCTGCTAGTTCTCAACTTCAAGAAGGCAAGAATACAAGAGCTCAAGGCTGCTCTACAGGGGGGCACAGGTGTGGGGGCGGGAGGTGAGGGAGCCTTGAGCCGTCTCAAATCTCTCTGCACCCCGCTGCACCCCTTTGTGCCCCGCTGCAGTTCCTGTTGGTTGTCAACGCCAAGAAGGCAAGAATTCGAGAGCTCAAGGCTTCTCTACAAGGGGGGCACAGGCGGGCAGGAGGCAGACACCTTGAAGCGTCTCAAATCCCTGCGCACCCCTTTGGACGTCTCTGCACCCCTTGGCACCCCTCTTCTCCCCTCTGCAGTTCCTGTTAGTCCTCAACGCCAAGAAGGCGAGGATACGAGAGCTCTAGGCTTCTCTACAGGTGGGCGCAGGTGGGGGGGCGGGAGGTGGAGGAGCCTTGAGACGCCTCAAACCTCTCTGCACCCCACTGCACCCCTTTGTACCCCTCTGCAGTTCCTGCTAGTCCTCAACGCGAAGAAGGCAAGAATACGAGAGCTTGAGGCTTCTCTACAGGTGGTCGGAGGTGCCGGGGCAGGAGGTGGAGGAGGTAAGGGAGGAGGCGGAGGCGCAAAGGCGGGGAGCGGCGGTGCAGGGCGAGTGGGGAAGGGGCGATGACAGCAGTGTGATTTGTTACAGTGCTATTGTTTGTGTGATAGTGTAGTGTACAGATGTGGCTGCCTGTGGCTGCCTGTGGCTGCCTGTACAGGTGGTTGTAATGATGTTGCTCCAGTCCCCACGAAAGTACATCCACTCACTCACCTCACCACAGCCTTAGATGAAATTCCAAACAGCAGGTTGCCATGACAGTATTGAGAGCTGTCAACAAGCTGATTGTGGTTGGGGGTGTTGTTCGCAACGCAAGCAATTCTCCACAAAGCATTTACCACGAGTGCACTAACCAAGCTTGGTTGGACAGAGGAATGGACCTTATTCCATGCCAGTGGTGTTGTTGTCCATGCCATGCCACGGGTTTTCCAAGTTCCCCATGTTCCTCCTCCCGATCCACGTTGTTTGGAATTCTCTGAAATTCACCCCAAAACATACCGTAGCGTAGCACCACGCAGTGGCCCAGCTTTGAGCCAACATACGGTAACGCACGAAGCACATCGTACACAACAGACAAGCAATTAGGATGCTTTCTATTCTACTGGTACCTATACTAATAGCTGATATTCTCCAATATTTACCTCTACCACACCACACCACACCACACCACACCCCTGCATGCTGCCTGTGGAGTCACGACGTCACATGCAGCAATCCAGTCTACCAGTGCTACGGTACCGTAGGTCTTTATCCCAAAAAAACTAGGTACCGTACCGTATATATCCTGTTGAGATATAATAGCATCTCTCTCCTCCGGCGCCAGCGCAGCAATTAATTACTATTACAATACAAGTTGACTGTGCTGTGTGCTCCCAGACACGATAGTACCTGTACATGCGCGCTGCAGCTGTTGATCTGAGATGCTGGAAGCAGCAATCCAGCAGACGATTCCTTAGCAGGGGAGTCGTCGTGCAGATGAGTTGAGGCATCTCTTTTGAGAATGTTCATGAGCGACTCTAATAAATCCCAGCAGCCCGCTGGTCTGTCTCTCCCCCAGCAGCAGCAGCAGCAGCAGCAGCAGCAGCAGCAGCAGCAGCAGCAGCAGCAGCAGCAGCCGCTGCTCTTCTCCAACCAGAGGAGCCGTGTCCCACTTCTTTCTGCGTCGAGGCACCTCATAAGTGATGTAAATAGATTCCAACAGCCCAGCAGCCCGCTGGTCTGTCTCTCCGCCAGCAGCAGCAGCTGCAGCCGCTGCTTCTCCCCCACCCGAGCCTCGTTGCGCTGCTTCTGAGCCGCCACCTGCCGGCTCGCCTCTGCCAGTTCTGCTCTCATCGCCTTGCACAGCGCTGCAAGTGTTGGCTTGAGTCGTCTCAGCTGTCCAGCACTCCAGAGGTCTGTCTCTCCCCCAGCAGCCGTAGCAGCCACTGCTTCTCCCCCACCAGCGCCTCATTGCGCTGCTTCTCAGCCGCCACCTGCCGGCTTGCCTCTGCCAGATCTGCTCTCATCGCCTTGCATAGCGCTGACATCTCACGCGTCTGGAGTGGTGGTGGTGGCATTGGCAAAGGGGAAATGCAGGAAACATTATTGGAACGGGAGTGTGTCTCAACAATCACACCTGCCGGCTTGCCTCTGCCAGTTCTGCTCTCATCACCTTGCACAGCGCTGACAGCTCACGCGTCTGGAGTGGAGTGATGGTGGTAGGTAACATTGGCAAGGGAGGCGAGAGAGAGGGGGAGAGAGAAAGAGGGTGAGGATGGCACCACTCAGTGACCTGCAGAGAGCTGTCAGTCAGCTCAGGTGTCTGATGTGAATAAAAAGGGATATGTAAAATAAAAGGTTCGAGAGGGTGCCATAGATCGCATTCCAGCCACAGTAGTTGCCGCTGCTGTATGATGCATGTGACTCCAAAGCATATCCTAAAAAGATGACTCTGGCAGGTGTCATACCTCGCACTCTAGCCTCTGCAGGTGCTGCTGCTGTATGATGCATGTGACTCCAAAGCATATCCTACAAAGATGACTCTGGCAGGTGTCATACCTCGCACTCTAGCCTCTGCAGGTGCTGCTGCTGTATGATGCATGTGACTCCAAAGCATATCCTAAAAAGATGACTCTGGCAGGTGTCATACCTCGCACTCTAGCCTCTGCAGGTGCTGCTGCTGTATGATGGATGTGACTCCAAAGCATTTCCTAAAAAGATTGAGAAGCGGGTGCCATACCTCGCATTCTAGTTTCTGCAGGTGCTGCTGCTGTCGAATGCGAATGCGCTTGGCTGATGCTCTGTTGGCCGCTCGCCTGCAGGCCATGAGTGCAAGCATGGGATGGGATCGGGTAGACAGTGGGACAGCATGAGTGTGAGCATGGGCACATGGAAACATGCGAATGCACTATGCTAATGCGAATGCGCAATGCTGATGCTTTGTTGGCCGCCCGCCAGCACACCGTGTCAAGCGGGAGATGGGATGGGATGGGATGGGATGGGGGAGACAGTGGGACAGCATGAGCATGGGATGATCGACACGGGGGCATAGGAACATGCAAATGCGCGTGGCTGATGCTCTGATGGCCGCCCGCTGCCGCCACAACGAGCAGGGGATGGGATGGGGGTTGTTGAAACACCAGGTATGATCCATGGGCTGAGCTGCTGTGCGCTTTGAGACAGCAGGCCAGGTGGACGGGAGTGGAGGACTCACCGTCTCGATTTCTGCATGGCAGCAGCAGCACTCGTTGGCACCGCTCTTTGAGTCGACTCAAAAATCAACTTACTACGCGCTTTGAGACAGCAGGCCCGGTGGAGGAGGACTCACCGTCTGGATCTCTGCATGGCAGCAGCAGTCCTTGGCACCGCTCCTCCACTCCCCGGCTTCGAGTACCCATACCCCTGAGTCGCTCTGCTGCTCGCGTCCACGTGAGCAGCCACGTCAGCACCCATGTCAGCTTCAACATCAGCGTCCAGGTTAACATCCTCCTCTTTCTTGACAGTAGAAACATTCTGAGCAGCGCCAATAACCGTCCCCCTGGCCCCAGTCGCCTCAAACGGCCATTGCTCCTCTGAGTGGGCTCCACAGGAGGGAAACACCATGGTGTCTTGTCGGGGGGGCGTGCTCGGCAAGCCGGGGGGAAGGGTGGACTCATACAGGGAGGATGAACCTCTGCTGTTGCACTCCCCCTTGCAGTCTTCCTTGCAATCTCCGTTCAAGCCTGTGTGGTAACCAGTGAGGTAATCAGAGTGGTAACCAGTGTGGTAACCCGTGCTGCACCCACAGGTGCAGTCATCACCGATCGTGCTGGCGTAGCCGCCAGGAGGGGGGAGCACCAGAGCTGGTAACCCTGTTACCACACGCCGGCTGGGGGCTGTGGGCTCCATGGGGGTGGGGAGGAACACGGATGCTGACGTGGCACAGGCAGCGACGGCGGCAGCGCACGTGCCTTGGACACAGGCAGGGGGAGAAGCAGAGACAAGAGGGGAGGAAGCAGAGGCGATGCGTGCACAGTTGAATACAGCAGGTGGGTTTGAAGAAGGCTGATGCACCAACGGCTCATGATTAAGCAATGCTGATGCGATATAGCTGTCATCTACCTTGTCGCAGTTGATTTTCGCGTCACATGGGGTCAATCGGCCCTCAATCTGTTCCTCCTTGCCAGCCTCATCGACACACGTCCCCCCTGATGCCTTCTCTTCCATCCCCTCCATTTCCATCCCCTCCGTTTTAGTCCCCTCCACTTCAGTCCTCTCCATAGCGAACAGCCCACTACCCAGCTCCAGGCCAAAATGTATGTTCCCGCCATCCTCGTTATTAGCATCTCCATCCTCCGTGCTGGTTTCAGCTTCACAATGGCCGCTGTCGTAGCCGCTCAGACGACTGGCGCTGACGTCATCCGCCGTTTCGCTGGCGTCAGCACCAGCCGTCAGCTGTGCGTCGTCCAGGTCGAAAAGGGAAACCAGGTTATTCCAAGACGGCTCTTTTCCTTTGAGTGTAGTCGGGATATTACAGGAGAAATTACCCTGCATTGTATCCACATTCTCCTCGCCCTTGCGCCATGGTGCAGTTGGGGGGGTTACAGCTGAGGCATTATACGAAGCAACGAGCGCGGAAGTTGGCGCAGGCGCAGCGGAGGGTTTTCGCGCAGATCCAACCTCGGGAACAGGTTTTGGCGAGATCCTGGGAGCTGGTGACACTTGAGGTTGATCTTGCGAAACTCGAGTTGACAAAACATTTGCGAGAGACAGCTTCATTGCCGAAAATGGAACGGGCGAAACTCGAGAAACGGGCAGGAACTGACCGCGCGAACTCAAATATGGTAACGCCGCAACCGTCGAAGAGAAACCCACATGTTCGTCAGCTGGAGGCGCGGCAGCAGCAATGAGCGGGACGTGTTCTTCTGGCTCTGCTTCAAGAAGTAATAAGTCGAGTAATAAGTCGCCGTTGAAGCAGACGTGTGCTCCTGCAGTAGGGTTTGTCGAGTAATAAGTCGCCGTTTCCGTAGGAGCACCGCACATTTCCTCGTTCTCCTCCTTGTGATGCCGCGCGTCCACTTGAAAAACTTCGGCGTCCGCTTTAGAAGCTTGAATGCCCCGTGGAGATGGCTCGTCGGCGGGAGTTCGTACGAACGTGGGGTGTGAAATGTCCCCACAGCGCGGGAAAGTGGCGTGACGGCCGGGGGAAGAAACAGCCGCGAAACGAGTAGTGGTGTCAACAGTCCACGCTGGTTCCTCAGCCGCATCGGGTTTCCGCGGCGGCGCCGCGACATCGCCGATAGACACGTGGCGCCCGTCCTCGAATGCCATCATATGCTGCGACATCGCGTAAGGAGGCGATGACGTCGCGTACGGAAGCGATGACGTCACGGCCGCGAGCTTTTTCCGCTTCATATTCTGCAGCAATCCGAAGATCGTCGTCGGAAATACCGTAGCACCGCGCTGCGTCGCCGCCGCCGTAACACCCCGCGACGTCGCCGACGCCGCGATTCTCTGCGCTGTCGCCGGCCATTCCGCCAAAGCCTTGTATCGAAGCAAACGGCCTTGGGACGCGGCGGCAGAAGCGGAAAGCGACGACTCAGACGACCGCGGGCTAGCAACCGTTGTCCGCAGATGAGATTTGATCCGTCCAATCTCCTCGTATGTTCCCTCCACTGCCGGGGAAGCCAACTCTTTGTGCACATCATGTCGCCTAGTTCTGTCGCAACCTCGTCGCTTCGACCCCGGCGACTCCAGATCCGTCGCTCCTCTCCGAGTGGACCGACAAAGCGCCGCGCATCGCTTCCCGAGAACGCTCGTCAGCGGCGGCTGAGTCTCCGACGCATGGACATGATTGTTTCTCGACAGGCCGCCGCCGTTATGGCGATTTTTAAGTCCATACTGAGCTGTAACGTGAAGCATTGTTGTAATGGTACTCGTAGTAGACGGGTAGTAACAGTCACGCTTGCGCGGCTGAGAGCATTCCGGAAGATCGTCGGCCGCCGCGGCGGAGGGGAAATGAGACGTGTTGCGCGCGCGCCCGCGACGGGCGCCGCATTCTGCGCTTGACGGTGTTGTTGGTGGGTAGATGTCGCTGAGACAGATATCCATGGCCGCGAAGGTTGTTGTTTTAGTTTCGAAGGACAATGCGCTGAGTGAAAGATTCGGTAGCTTGTTATTCTCGCCGGCGCGCGCTCAAAGAAGACGTTGCTGCGATTCAAGAAGGACCGTGAGAGGTTGTGTTGTGATTGCGACTGGAGTGGCTTCACAAGTAAGAATCACATTTGGAGGCACGATATGACAGACAAGAAGTAATATAAAGAAATGTCTCTGTTCGTGGGAGAGGGGTGAGGTGAGGAAGGAAGCAAGGACAGGGCGGGTTGTGTGTGACACAGGAACAAGAAAGATGGTGTGTCGTGTCGTGCCATGTCGTATCGTATCGTGTCGTGTCGTCGTGGGTTGCTTGCTCAAGCAGCACCCTGATGGGACGGAGAACATCGTCGACCGCGGTGGCGCGCCGGGACGGGACGGAATTTCACAAGATACAGCCGCTACGATCTAGATCCCCGTGACGGACAGGCTGGTGTAGGCTGAGCTGGCTGCTGCCAAGATATATCAGCAGAGCTGGTGGTCCATCTAGGCAGTCAGCCATGATAGTCGCCACTGTGAACCTCCCTCGCGCAATTTCAAGGGAATTTTCCAGCATTGCAAACGCCAACGTGCTGGCTCACTGCTGCTGCTTGCTCTTCTTGCCAGTTTCCTGGTTTGCTTGTTGGGCCCAGTTCGACTGGCGTTACGGGCGTTTGAGCATTTTTAACCAGCCTCGAAAAAACGCCAGCTCGAAAAATCCTCGAAGTCAGGCGGCGCATGCAGTGCACCTTCTAAAAAACGGGTTGCCCTGTTCGGCTGGCATTATGGGGGTTAAACGTGATGGCGCGGTAGGGGTGTAAAATTCGAGGAAGTCAGGTCAAAGGTGATTTTTTTTTTTTTTGAAATTGACATATACATTTATGAGGACAATGCATACATCAAAAGCAGTCGTAACTGAGCGTGAGGGCACTGCACCATGCACTGCCCAGTAATGCATCTAGGGCGGCAGGAACGCCCGCTTTGGCTTGTTCCAGATAGCAGCGAAGTTTGTCGACCACTTCCATTTTTTGTCACCTGTCTCCCTTATCCTCGCCAGCATTTTTTGCTCCGCTTCGAAAACACTCCTGACCCGTTTTCCCTTCCCTGATGTCCCTGGCCGCAAGCTTTTGGCACCCATTGCTCTCGTGTACACTCTCGCGTGTAGCCTAAAAACCGACCCAATCCTCCTGAGAACCCTCCGGGCTCTGAATTTCTGCCCTCGGAAAGTTGCTTCACATCTCTCCACCCACAGCTGATGAAAAGTAATCGATGTGAGGGTAGCCTCCGGGAAATCCGACGCCGTTCCGGTTTCCTGGAACAAGAGGTCCCCCAGCGAGGCAGTTGTCCTCCCTGGATTGAGCATGCGCAGAGCACGACGGAGCCCTGAGACAACTGGCTGAATTCTCGGGCAGGAGAAAAGACAGTGTTCGTGCGTTTCCTCCACTCCGCAGTATGGGCATTTTGGCTTGCAGCTGAGAAAATCAACTCGCTCCCCGACCTGAAGGTTCAGGTTATGCACCCGTGTGAGGACATCTCTCGGTCGGCTCGGGATGGCCAGCGAGTTGCGTGTGCGAATGATTCGCTGCCAGTCAATCTTGCCGCACCATCGACCAGACCACTTTGCCTGCTTCGTTAGGACTGCATCGGGTTTGGTCCACACCTCCCTCATCCGCTTCAGAGAAGCTGCTCGCTCTCCGTCAAAAATTGCTGACCGGAAAATTGAAGCCGTGGCCCCGCGACACCCCCCTGCTGTCACCGCTGTAACCGCTTCTTTCTCCCCTCCTCCTCCAGCCGTGCCGTTGGGGATCAGCAGGGTTTTCCACTCCTCCGGGGCTGCAGCAAAGGCTTTGAGAGCCAGCCGAGCAGAGTCCTTGCCCCTCAACTCTTTTTCCAAGACATCCATGTCCTTAACTGCTGCTTCGCCTGAGGGCGATGTGGTTACCAGGTCCCCCATGCGAGTATCCCAGAGCCCTTTCGCCTCCTTCTGCCCGCCCACTGGGTTAGTGCCGTTCAGCAGCACGTTCCTGTTGAAAATAATTCTTTCCAGCGCCACCTCCTCCTTGCTACTGACTTTCCCTGTGTCAGCGAGAGGCGATTTCAGGAAAGTTTCGCAGGTCTGCTTCCACCGCTCCCCGTGTCCTGGCCAGTGCTTCAACACCTTTTCGTGCGCCGTGAAAGTGTCTTCTCCCATCGGGAGCCCCGCCGCTTTAAGCATGATTTCTTTTTTCTTGCCGTTCCCCTCCGACAGGAGTCCAGCGATTCTCCTGGCCGCAAGACAAGCCATGAGGACCTCCGGGTCCAGTACTCCGAGCCCCCCCTCACCTCGCAGAGTAGAGAGGAGATCCCAGCTCCACAGCACAAAACCTCCATCCGCCGACGCGCTATTCCCCGACAGAAAGTTATGAATTAACTTCATCAGCTTCTTCCAGACTTCTTCCGGTGGGGGGTAAACTTGAGCCTGGTAAGCTACCTTAGGCGTGATGTAGCAGTTTATGATCACCACCCTTGCCGCAATCGTGAGGAAAAGCGCTTTCCACTTGATCAGCTCCACTGTAATTTTCTCGAAAGCCCTTAACCATGTCGGTTCGCTGCTACCGGAGGGGGTGATCCAGACCCCCAGAAGGCGTTCAGCTTCATCTGCCTTTGCCCATTTGAAGCCCCCCAAAGTCCCAGGTCTCCTTCCAAGATTATGCCCCAGCGGCATGACAACCGATTTTTCCCTGTTGGTGACCAGACCTGGCATCTCTGCAAATTGCTTCAGTAGTTTTCCTGCCCTGGCAATCTGGCGTTTTCCCTCCAAAAACAGTGTTGTGTCATCCGCGTAACCCAGGTAAACTAACCGCTGTCCAGCTTTGTTGCAGAGGCCCAGCTTCCGCCTATACGCTTCTTGCGCAAGCGGCTCCACCGCGCAGAGGAAGAGGTATGGAGCAAGCGGACACCCCTGCCTCACCCCTGATTTTACTTCCACCGCCTCTCCCAGCCAGCCATTGACTAGTAACCTTGTCCTTGTATCTCTGTGCAGGCCTTCCACCCAGCCTACGAATCTCTCCGGGAAACCCATATCTCTCAGGATCGTAAAGAGGAAACTCCGGGACACCGAGTCAAAAGCCTTACGGAAGTCCACCAGGAGCATGTACCAATCTTCGTTCCCCTTTTTCGTAGCTTCAACGACGTCAGCCACCACGCCAATCGCGTCAGAGATCCTCCTCCCAGGTATAAATCCGTACTGCTCCTCCGATATCACTAAGTGGAGCCACTGCTTCATCCTGTTTGCCACAACTCTCGCCAAAACCTTGTAGGTGAAGTTGAGTAAGGTGATGGGGCGATAGTTGTCCAGCTTGTCTTTGTCTCCTTTTTTATAAAGCAAGATGGTAACCGCTTCCTTGACGCTTGCACGGAGCGAGGCCGATTCTGAGAAACTTTTC